GAACTCGCTGTCCCTTGCTCCCTGTGGATTCTACTTTTGACCCCAGAGGCATGTGAGGTACGTGCAAGTGGACTTGTGATGCACGATGGGGCTCCTCCTTGGAGTCTACTGAAGGGCACGAACCTGTGGAGTTCCCCCCCAAAACTGAAGTCCAGCCGTGGGCTGCCTCCTTCCCTCTGCTAGCTGAGAAATGGAATATTTCAAAGGATCCACAGTACGTACATACACACATTTCACAGATTTCCAGGAGGATCTATATCCAACCATCACAGCAGCCACATCTCAGTCCAGGCATGCGGCCCTGGTGGGGTTACAGGTAGCCAGCCGCCTGGGCAGGCAGCCTTCCGTTCCCTCATCTGTGAAAGGGGAGAAGGAGGCCACACGGGTCATTCAGGTGATGTGAAGTTTATCACGGCCCACACATTTCCATCACGGCATCATGGCAATCCCTCTTCTGGATTTTTGCGGCATATGGTCCTGCGCTTGACATTGACAACATTAAAGACCAACAGTACTGGTTATTTATTTCTTTAGCTATTTCTTCATTCAGTGGTTGAGATACAAACCTTCAGCTGGGCCCAGTGGCCCATGCCTGTATGCCCAGCATTCTGGGAGGCTGAGGCAGGAGAACCACAAGTTCAAACCCAGCCTGAGCAACTTAGCAAGGCCCTGTCTTAAAATGAGAAAAAAAGAAGAGCTTTCCTTCTTGTTAATCCAGGAGAAATTGTTATCCTATGAAACTATTAGGTGATTATTTCAGCATAATTGTATTACAATAGTTGTGACCATGGAAACACATGTCCATGTGAAATGATTGCCAATGAAAGTGCTGATACATCTTCAGGCTTCGAGTTGCACCCAGTAACTCCTGTGGTTTTCCGGGCCGCTGGGGAGGGCTGGGGCTGAGGTCTGGCGCTGTGCTGCACTTCTGGTTCCTGCTCCTCACTGTGGTCCCCGGCAGGGTCAACCTTTTAAAGCTGCACAATGTGGGGGTTAAAAGTCCTGGGAAAGACACCTCCCCAAGCTCCCCAACCTGGCCTGGGCCACGGTCTGGTTTGTCTAAAGCCCCAGAGTGAGATGTTCGGCTTAGGAATCAGTTATGCCTTGGATGGCTTTTTTTTTTGGTACCGGGGATTGAACTCAGGACCTTGCGCTTGTGAGGCAGGTGCTGGAACCACTGAGCTAAATCTCTGGCCCTTTGGATGGCTTTTATTAAAAATTTACACAAGCAATCATACTTTCCGGATCTCTTCACATCTTGGACCCCCTCTCCTCTGTTTAATTTCATTTTCTAGGTCGGTGTAGCTCAGGGCCTGGACTCTGTCCCCAGCACCAAGGAGATGAAAACAGAATCATTGTCTTCGAGACCCAGGTGTACTGGGATTCGCTTCTAAGCCCGCCCTGCTTCTCCATCACCAAGTGCGTTCTCTGCTTATGTTATTTTTGCATAGGCAAAACGTTATTTCTCTGCGTTTTACTTCTGACCCTAGATGTGTGGGTGTTTTTTTCACACCAAAACTTCTCCAGTCCTCTGAGGGCCTCAGCCGGGTGGGGGTGCAGCAGTTCCATTCAGGGTGGCCCTGTTTTCCTGAAGTCAGCGTTAATCCCGCAGCCAAGCGGGGGCCTCAGTCCTGAAAGTCTGCCCCACATCGGTCGGACACCGGATTGCTGCCTGGGGCTTCCCGCGCCCTGCTCAGCTTCCGTGATCTAACTGTGGCTCCCGGAACCGGGGAATCCCTTCCTAAGGCCGTCCACTTACTACAGAGGGTGACGGAGGAGGAAGAGCTATCAAGTGCAGAAGCCGGGTCCCCGAGGCGCTGGCCCAGCGTCTCTGCCTACGGCTGCTCCCAATCCTGCCCTGCACTTCGAGGGGCTCACACAGGCTTGGAGGATTAGTGACCCGGTGTCCAGGTCTTCCTCTCCCTCCCTTCGGGGGCGGTGGATGGGCGGAAACTTCAGAGCTTCTGGTCGTGGGCGGGGGTTTCTGGAGGGAGGCGGGAAGCCCAGCGAGAGCCACCTCCTCACAGCAAAGGATGCTGCCGCCTCCCTGGGAACTCCCGTCACGGGAGCCTGGGGTCAGGATGGCTGCGGTCCTTACTTCTTCAGGTTGAGCATCTTACCTTTCTTTCCTCACTGCTTTCTTCATCCCGGTTTCTTGTCTCCCAGTCTGGTCCACGGAAGGCCAGCGCCCAAGCCCCGCTGAATTCTTACTGGACTCCCTCGGAGCCCCTGTCAGCCTGGGCTCTGGGGGTCCACAGCCTCGCAATCAGGACCGAGGGCTGGGTCTGCAGCTGTCCACCCAACGGCACTCGGCAGCCCCCTCATTAGCACTCTTCGCGTGCCCAGCAGTGGGCTTCACGGTGCCGTTCTGACCCACGTCCGACTGCGCGTCCTCACGGTCGCCCCTCCCTCCCGGCGCTTCTCCCCTTCTGCTTTCCCACCTCGCCCGCCTCACGCATCTCACCTTCTCGGGTGTGGCTGAGGTCGGCCGGACCCGCCTTCCACGCCGCCCCCCAAGCGCGCTGCGTGTGGAGACAGCTCCAGCGGACACGGTGTTCTGTCACAACTCAGAGGCAGCAGGAAAGTCTTGTTTAACATCTTGTTACACTTGATTTAGTGCCGTTTGTCACACCTTTGCAAGGTTTCCAAATCTTAATGAATACAGGATTAGTTAACCTAGGCATGTTAGCTTCATGGCGTTTCAGGGTTGTTGCCTTCCTGAGACTTAGCTCGGCAAATACGATGTCCCCTCAGAAGAGCCGCCCCCCTCAGGAAGAGCTGTACCAGGCCCCTCTCCACAGCACCCTCCTGACCCTCAGACGTAGGTAAGCCCCTCAAGGTTAGTCTCACGAAGGATCTTTTTGGCGACAGAAATTTCTGTAATAGCTTATTTTTTTAAATATATATATATATATATATTGGTACATTTTAGGTATAAAATACATTTACATTTATCATTGAGTGTTTGTATCTGTACATGATGTATTTTAGTTTTTATTTTTTCCCCCATTACCTGTGCACCCATCACCCCCTCCACCCTTCCCTATTTACAGACTTTGATTCCATTTTTTTTTCTCATAATTTTTTCTTTCCCTTCTTCCCTTTCTCCTTTCCCTTCCACCATCCCCAAACCCTTGGACCTTTTCTTATTTCAAATGATCAATTATTCATTTTAATCATTTTAATCCTTATTTACACTTTCAGTTTCTCACTCTAGAGAAGCTATTCGGTATTTATACATGTGTGTCCTATTTATTTCACTTAAGAGTATGGCCTCGATGTGCATCCATTTAGCTATAAATGACTCTAATTTCTCATTCTTTATGGCTGAGTAGTACTCCATTTTATAAAAAAACCCACATCTTCTTTATCCAGTTTCCAGTCGATGGGGACTTGGGCTGTTTCCAAGCTTTAGCTTATAATAGCTTATTGATTACATTTCTTCTCTAAAATTCTTACCATGACTGTGGTAATGAACACACACACACACACACACACACACACACACACACACTCCCTACCACAGCATCAATGTGAGAATCGGGAAGGCTTCAGCTGCTGTGACGGCAAAGAGCCTTGGTAGACTAGGGCCACCCTCACCTTGTGGAAAAGCATTCTTGTATTCGCACCCCGCAAACGTTTCTGTGTCAGTCTCTAAATGACATTTTCATTACAGGCACAAAGGAGATGAGTCTCAGGAGCAGGTGGTGGAATTGAGGGCTGTGTTCATTGTAAGGCAAGGACTGTAAAAGCCACAACTCAACCCCAAGTAAATCTTTATTTACTCCTAGATTCTGCCCCCAGCCCCATTCATTCTGCCCATTCTGGATATTTCATGTAAGTAGAATCATACAGAATGCGGTCTATTATGATTGAATCTTTCCCAAGCTCTTCCATATTGTGGCATGCACTAGTAATTTGTTTCTTTTGTTGCCAAATACGTTCCAGGGTTGGAAGTATTGCAGTCATGTTTCCATTTATCAGCTCATGGGTATTTTATTTACTTCTGCCCAGTCTTTCGTGAATAAGGCTGAGGACACTGGTATAGAAGTGAGCATGTGTACATATGACTTCGTTTCTCATGACTGTGTAACTAACTGCAGCTGCTGGGTTGTATGATAACTCTACACTGCACATTTTGACAAATAGCCAAGCTGTTTTCCAAACAAATGGCTCTGCCATTTTACATTCTTCCCATCAACAGATGAGGATTCTAACTTCCCCACATCCTTGCCAATTCTTGTTATTCTCTGTCATTTAATTATAACCATCCTAGTGGGTATGACGTGTCACCTCATGAAGGTTTTGATTTGTATTTCCCTAACAACTGCTGATGTTGGGTGTCTTCCCATGTGCTCTCTGGCTATGTGTATATCTTCACTGGAGAAGTGTCTATGTGTATGCAAATCCTTTGCTCATGTTTTGTGTTACTTTTCCCTTTATTATTGGGTATAAAAGCTCCTTATATATTCTGGGTACACATACATTATCATACCTATGATTTGTAAATATTCTCTCCCTGTAGGTTGTCTTTTACTTTCTTGATGTTAGTTTGCCATATGAAACAATTTAATGATATAATATTATTTATTTTTGTTTGGCCACTTATGCTTATATTCTTCTTACGTAGACTTTATTCTCAGGCCATTTTTTGCTTCACAGTGACATCGACTTAAATTGATGCCAGCTGTGTGCCGGTCCGGGCCGGCAGCAGTGGTCTCTGTGCCACCCAGGAGCGGCCAGGGGCCCCCGGGGGGGGGGTCAGCAGTGGGCGGCTGAGAGCACCTCACGACTGCCGTGCACCTCACATGGATCATTTATATTCAGCGCATCAAAAATATTTGGTGGTGTGGCTGTCACTGAGTAAATCATAAATATTAAATGTCTATCTTGTCCTGTCCTTTTCCACGTTCAAGGACGCGTGCTGTCTTCCACGTTGGATGCTTCTCACTAACTTGTCTCTGTAAACTGGGTCTCATCCATTTTGTGTTTTCTTCTAGGGCGGAATGGAAACTCCCGCACCACACTTCATGGTTCGTACATATATCGTGTTTGCAATAGTACCTGACAACAGAAACGATGAATGCTCCGTTTATTGTTAAGAACGTTTTGCTGTCATAATCCTAGCTGTCTAAAGGTAAAGATTATCTGCTATCCTAGATCAGAATAAACACCTGATTGGAAAGTTTAACCCTAAGGTGACTTGGCCTTGACTTTGGTCTGAAATTGATAGTAAAATGCCAAGTCAATAACCCAGACCTCCTCACTGCTCATCTCATTAATACCCCCTCTCCCTGGCAGATTGGTGACCCCTACCAGGCTGCTGCTGGTTCCTCTCTCCGTTGACGCAGGCTTTTCCTCACTTGTTGTGACCGCTTGGAGAAGCTTGCTGCACAGGTCCATGAGACCTGAATGAAGCATCTTGTGAACCATGTGCCCAGGCCACAGCTGAGCACTAAGAGGACAAGGCCTGTGTAGTGAGCCGAGGCAAGACAGAAACAGACCCTACAGTGTGCTTGGAAAGACAAAAACTGTTCACTTTGTCTTCAGGGGCAAAGCGCACGTTCACACCTGAACATTACTGACTGCTTAGTCCCAAACAGGCTACTTCCTACCCATGCACACAGTTACACTGACACATCTAATATCATACATGTTTGCATGAGCAATTTGCTAAATAAACGATCGCATGCTGGCTTTCTCTTAGGACTGCCTGCTTTTGTTCTGGCCCCGAACTCAACTGTGTGCTGTGTGAAGACAGAAGGAACCATGAGAACTGCAGTGTTGTGATTTGGGCATACATAGTTCAGCTGTTTCCACTCAATGAAAATTAGTGACATTATTCCTATATTTCATTTATTAGGTTCTGCAAAAAAGTGCCAGCAACTGTGGTTCGAAGCAGCTGCCTGAGCCCTTGAACACCCATTTCACGCCAGGAGGTTCCCTTGGGGACCAGAGGCAGCTGGCAGTGGCACTGGTGAGGAGACTGAAAAGGAACATCCTGACTGGCTCAGAGGCCGGTGCTGCCAGCTGATTGCTCCTGACTTTCGGTGGTTCCTTCAGCTGCACCGTGTAGGATGGATTTCCTGAAGAGTCTGAAAGAGCTCAGAAACCTGCTAGTTCTCAAGCATAGCCGCTTACCGTCACATTTGACGAAGGGAGGCGACATTTATGTGTGCTTTGTTGAAGACTGGTGTGTGTTACTATTTGTAAGTACACCCAGTATTGATCGCTGATCGGAGATCTCACGGAGATCCACTGAAACTGCAGTTAGGAGAAGGCAGTGCCCAGTCCGACCCCAGTAAGGAAACTACCCAGAGCTTCTGAGGCCTCGGCCTGTCCTTCTGTTCTGCATGCGGAGTCACTGGATCTGGGTCAGGAAATGCACAGTACCAGATGGGATGTTAAGTAGAGCTGGCCTAACAAAGTAACACCATTTCCACCATCAGAGCAAAAGTAACATTGATTTACTAATCAATTGGAAATTACCCCTGGATGAAGGACAGAAAGAGGATTCCTGGGATCCTCTTTACTTAATTGGAAAATAAAGCTTATTATTATTATTATTATTATTATTATTATTATTATTTTATCATTACTATGACTTTGTTGGGCTTGATGTTGTCAATCACAAAATGCCTTTATAAACTATGGTTCCAGTTATAACTGCTGACATTACTGTTGCCTGAAATGCTCTTACACTAAAGTTCAAGGGAACCCCTAAATTTAACTAGGCTAATTTGAGATAGAAATGTCATTTGTATGAAAAAAGAAAAATATTGGTAAGTATTTCAATTAAGAGCAATTTTATATTCTTAAAATTACATAGTTGCATCTGGAATTTTGATAGGAAGGAAATATATTTTTCCTAATAGATAGGAAAAGTGATTTTTCAATTTGTTATGTCTTTAGTTTACTGTTTGCATTTGCTATTCTGATAATAAGACACAAACCAGGAAGTGCAGTGCCCTGCTGTGTGGGCAGTGGGGGAGTGTCTGGGTGGGCGTGACCGTGTAGAGTCCACTCTTCTGTTCCCGACACACACCTGTTAATCACGCACAAGGCCCCTGCTCTCTGACCCTTGTGGCCACCCGTGCTGCACGCTGGCTGCCATCCTCCTATCACTGGGAGCCTGGCTCCCCGGGAAGCAGTGGCACTGAATTTGGCAAAATGGTTGCTCCAAACCCAAAGTTCTCTTGTTGGGCTTTTGTGCTTTCCAAAGAGAAGACCATTGGTGCATTATGGGACAGCTTTATCTTTTCTTGCTTTTCCCAGTGAAAATTCAATTAAATAAAAAATGACTGTGTAAAATAAAGGAGTTATGTGAAATAATCTGAGGTGTGGAAATTGGAAAAAGAAATAGGATTTTAGGACACTGAGAAAAATATTGAGCTAATAATCTGAACCAAGAATATATACTTGAAAATAATGAACAGTTAGAGATACACAAAAGTATGTACTTCCTTAGAAGTAGCGAACGAAGGACAGAACCACAGTAGCCGAATGTGGGAAAAGACAGAGTGTAAGGAAGCAGCTGGTAATACATGGAAATAAAAGACATCAGACTGTAAATGGTGACAGCTGAAGTGTGCTGACTTTGCTCAGGTACTTAACTGCCTTCTGTCCCGATATCGGACGAGAAAAGCGAAACAGGGGCATTGTCTCTGCTTTAGTGGGGGACACAGGGGCACCGAGGGGCTGAGTTGGGGGTTTGGGCGCCCAGTCAGCAGATCAGGCAGGCCTGAGGGAGCCGAGTCTGAGCTCTGAAAGCAGACTAGGGGCCATGCGTGCTTTTGTCTCAGCAGTTATTCCAGATCTTCAGCCTGTCAAGGGGAGGCTATTACTTTAACTGGGTATCTTAGAAAGGGAAACTTTGAATAAGGTAGAGCAGTTTAGAAGGAGAGCAGAAAGGTATATCAATATATTCAGTTTCAGTGAAGACTAAATAATGGGTAGATGATATTCATGGAAACTGTAAACCTCTGATTCCTTGTTCCAGCCAACAATCTAAACCAGCAGTCTGGATCTACTGATTGTGTCATTTCCCATCACCAGGGCAGTGTACCACACACCTGCAACTGTAAGGAGAACAGGTTTACTTTGGCTCATGGTTTCAGAGGGTTCAGTTCACAGTCATCTGGCTCCAAGGCTGAAGTGGCATGGTGGAAGGGTCTGGCTAAGGGACAGCTGCTCAACCCATGGTGGCCTAGAAGCAGCGAGAATAGGGAGGGGTTGGGAACAAGAAGTCACCAATGACCACCTCCAACCAGACCCCACCTCCTGCAGCTCTGAATTTGCTCATGAATTAATCCAGTGATGAGTACAGTCCCCCCATGATCCAATCACCTTCTAGAAGGCCCACCCGTGAACACGGGAGATTCTGGGGAGACATTATATCTAAACCTGATTTACAGAGGGTTAGCCTTGAACTAATCAGAGATTTTTAAAAGCCCTTTTCTAATAATGGGACTATAATTACTTGTGATTGTTCTATGTATTTCATGCTTTGGTGGTTCAATTTGGCTGTACATATATTAAATTTGGTTATAGAAAACTTAAAGCTGTCATTTGTTGAATATTTACTATGTGGCCACTAAGTACTTTTTAATTCTTCTTACTTCATGAGATTGATTTTTTAATTGACATGATAAACTCATCATAGTAGTTCTCATAATAAACTAAGACATAGAAACTGGGGCTCAGAGTAGCTACCTATGTGCCCAGCTACGCAGCTGATTAATGCTGAGTTGGGATCTGCATACAGGCCCATGAAGACCTCTTGACCACCCTCTTTCCTATTTTTATTTATTGATTTCACAACAGAATGTTATCAAAAGGGTCTCCACATCAGACTATTCCTAAAATGGTATGTGCAGTGCATCCCAAAAGAGTTGATTTTGGCCATTGCTATTTTTTGTTCATTCTGTAAGACAAGAAACTCTCCACATCGCCTTTTTTTTCTTTTCGGTACCTAGAATCGAACTCAGGGCCTCTCGCTCGCCAGGCAGGTGCCGTGCCGCTGAGCCACATCCTGGCCTGACACTGCCATTTGGATTGGTGTATTATTTTGAATTCCATCCTCACCCTCTGCCAGGCACACACAGAGTCTAAAACAATTACCAAAAACTAGTTAGTTCTCCACTTACAGAATCATTTCATTTCTTTTCTTTGGGAAAGCAATGTGATTTTTGATTCCTTTCTTCATACCGTGGAAAAATTCTTTTTCCTACTGAAGAGAAATGAAAATCTCTTATGATACGAGGCCTATGTAGAAGGTACTTGGTTCATAGAAGGCTATATTCTCTTGTTCATTTTAGCCACACCTTAAATTGCTTTTGCTCCCTCCTGGCTTGGATAAAGTAAGTTGTGTATACATTGAATTCTCACCTTGGTCCAAAGTAAAATAAATGGCATCTTCCAGCATCCGTAAGTGTCTGAAATGTGTCTGTTTACATAAGTTTATCCAGAGGAGCCCTTTAACCATATTTAGAGTGAGCGGGGTGGGGTGGGAGGGACTGGGACAGCCAACAAAGCATGCTGACCCAGCTTGTCACCAGTGACCTGTGAGGGGGAAGTAACGAACTGTGAGTAGCTGTCATCCTAACTCTTTCTGACAGTTTGCCTTTGGGCACATCTGTGTTAGCTGCATTGGAGAGAGGCCTTTGTTCTGCTCCCAGAGTGGCTTCCCGGGAGCTGAGGGGCTGCGAGTACTGTACTCTGCGCGGCCCTTCCTTCCTGGGGAGGCGAACAGCTGCCACCGCCGTGCTGACATTTGTCTTCCTGCCCCGAGCTGGCGGGTGCCTCCCTCTCTGAAAAGGGGCCAATCTTTAACAGTGCTTTGAGCTTTTTCAATCAAAATGCACGCCAATGTCAGGTGAGTTTGGCTACTCATAAAAAAGCAAGTTATAAAAGACATTTAATGTTATCAAAATTTTATATAGCTAAAGGTAGAGACCAGATGGAAAGGTGATTTGATGTTTCCATGTATCAAAATATTGACAGTTGTTCCTGAGGGTCTGCATTTGAGTTTCCAATTATTTTCTGTGTTTTAATAATTAAATATTATATTTGAAGTAGGGAAAGTCAATACAAGTTATGAAAAGCATTTTTAATATAGACAACACTCAATACATACTTCACTAGTGAGACTGGACTGAATTGGGAAAAATGGTGCTATATTTTATTTCATATTTTCCCACTGACAATTTTTAAAGAAACTTCTATCTGATAATCAAAACTTTAAAATTGCAGTATTTACATTTTAAAGTTAATCTAGTGCTTAAAAATATTATAATCATTAGGAGATGTAGTTTGATAAGAGGCGGGTGTGGCTGTGGTCTGGTTTCCTGAAGGACGACTACTATTCTGCCCTAAGGAGAGCAGAGCATTCTGAATGACGCATATCACACCCTCAGAGAATTATCCAAATTAAAATCAAAGTCTCATTTACAAAATATAATTCCTGAGTCAGTTTTAAAGCCTTATTTACATTTTTACAATTGCTGTAAAATCAGTCCTACTACTATAATTACGTCTGGCTATGATTGGCACAGAATAAATGCTGGCATCTGGCTTTCACTGTATTATGTTTACCATTCCAAGAGAATATGAATTCAAACTATATCACACTGGTCAATTTTTAAAAGGCATTTTCCCGCCTACTTAAAAGGAAGAAACGAGACTTGAAAGAAGTGACTTTTTTTCCTGTATTCAAGCTTTTTCTTTAGGAACAGACTGGAGATGCAGTAGCTAAAGGAGCTATTATAGTCTCTTGCTTGTCAAAGAAAGATAAATTAATAGTAATGAGGACTTCTCTAAGAAGACAATGGTCATGTCTATGTAATTATAAATTGTAAAAAACCAATTATTAAAAATTGAAAGAATCATCTTCTGATTTTCTTGAGTATTCAGTAGTATATGATTTATTACTCTATCAAGTAATTTATGTAGTTTTTCACATATTTGATAGTAATCTGCAACCATGTTATTTACTTTTAACTTTGTCTTCATTTTGTTCAGTAAATATCAGCATGATTTTTGTACAGATTATGCGTGAACAGGTCAGTTTTGATAGAATTTGGTCAGACTCTGTCTTTTAAGGAAAGTGGAAAATCCCACAGCTCTAATTCTTACTTCTAGAACTCTTTCTTACCAGTAAAAGGAAATGTTGACAGAATTTCCCTTGGTAGTCATTAAACCCAATTACACTTCCTAGGATTAAAAATCCCACATTATACAGCATTACTTTTCTTAGATATTGAAAATGTTCCGCTGTAAGAATTTGCCTGTAGCTCTTTTACATACTTTACCCAAGAGGATGGCATTACATCGAAGAACACGAAGTTACGTGCTCCAGAAATACGAGGGTCTAATTTGCTTTTATTATAAAAGTAAAATATCCTGAATTTGGCTGATGTCATTCCGTTTGGGTTTTTGTATATTTTAAAAATTAATCCCCATATGTTCTCTGTGAATTGTAATAAAGTGAACAAATGATATAATTGCACCTGCTTCTTTGAAACAAAGTCAAAAGCATGCATCCCAAAGGGTTCAGCTTATGTCTGTGTGCATTAATTCAGCAATCATCAAAGACTTTCAAGTAAACATTTTAGGGTTAATGTTTGTTCTCATTTTCAGCCATGAGTTGCCCAACTCTTCAACTAAGCTGCTTACTTCCCAGTTTGAGGAGCGGACTGTTTATCTTTCTATTCCGCTCGATGTGACCTATGGAACTGTTTAAGGGGTGGGTAGGAAGCTCTCCTCCTGCCTTCTTCCATCTTAAAAGTCCCACCAAGTGTCTCACACTGTAAAGTGAAGGTAGAAGGTAAGGGGGTTGGGAAGGGAGGACACAGGTGGTGGATCTGTCCGTAAGTGATCATACATGGGAGTGACCTACAGGCCAGCTCCATGTTTCTGTCTCTCTCTCTACTATTGGCCTCTCCCATGATCCGTCCCCCACTTAGTGGCCCAAGGGATCCTCTTGCACTTGTAAATCAAATAATGCAAGTTCTCAGCCCCGAGTCCTCCTGGGGCTTTCTGTTTCCTGCACAGTGAACCCAGCCAGGCTTCACCAATGCTGCCGCCTCCTTCAGCAGGCCCCTCAGCTCCTCATGATCATCCCTGTCTCCTCCCTTTCTCCTCTCCCCCAGTCATCCTGGCTCCTCTGCAGTTTCTCAGACTTGTCACCCATGCTCTCATCCTGTCACAACCTTTCCCTGCTCTAGTTTTCTTTAGGGTCCTTATTGTTACCTGTCGTACACATAGGTCTTTATTGCCTGAATCGCTCGGTTAGAAGGTTTGCTCCCTTCAGCAGGAATGTTGCCTAATTCACATCTATACCCCCAAGTCCAGATTATACCTGGTCCACGGTGGGTACTCCATACAAAGGTTTTAAATACTTGAACAAATAAAACACTCAATCTTATGGTTTAGCTCTAAAACGTTCCCCAAGTCTCATGTGCTGGGAAGTGGGTCGTGTGTGGAAAAGGAGGTCACTGGGGTTGTGAGCTAAACCGTGTGCTCTTGTCCCCTACTCTTCCCTTCTCTCTCTGCTTCTGGCCGCCATGACGTGGGCAGCGTTCCTGTGCCATGTCCTCCACTAAGCCTCCTCTGCCTTGGAGCCGGTCAACCACGGACTTAACCCACTGGAACTTTGAGGCAAAATAAACCTCTCTTCCTCTGAGAGTGTTGGGTATTTTGTCCCAGAGACAGGAAAGCTGAGTAATAAATACAATGAAGTAGTGTGATTAATGGGAATGAAACAGAGCGGGAAGCAAGTCTGATATCCATATCTACATTTCAAGATCCTCTGGTTTTCAACAACTGTCACCTTACGACTTCCTCGTATATCAATCCAAAACTGAGCCCAAGTACTATGATGGGTTGGTTTCTAACTGATTCCTGTTAGCAAACATCTGTTTCTTTCATCCTTTCCTAATGCAGAAATGTGTAGTGGGCATTTTCTGGCTTCTAAGCATTCCTGCAGCCTAGTTAATCACTGTGGGAATACAGTCCTGAAAAAATAGGTACAATTTCTGGACTTAGAGAGCTTCCCCACCAAACGTCGTGCGAAGGAGAGGTATTAAACACATCCTTAGATAGAGAGTGGTGATTGTCATTGAAGGGGGAACGTAGGCGTCCTCAGCCCTCCTCCCTGGTCCTGTGCCCCGCAAGTTCCACTCTGAGCATTTCACTCATTGACTCCGGATTCTTCAATGTTTCCTCTTGTTGACTAAATTCAGTGAAACCCTAACTGTCATACTCAACTGTACTCTAATCTCCTGTCTCAGAATCCCCTTGACTACATAGGCCTAGGCTAGTTATTCTCATGCTGGTTTGCTTAACCAAATGCTCTTCTTTCTTTCTTTTCTTTTCTTTT